AGCATCAGTCAGATTGTCTGAAATAATTGTGCACTTTCAGAATTAATGGCAGTAGGAGGACTGGTATTCCATGGTAATGGAAATGCTGATCATTAATTCTTCTCAGTTTTTGAAGTTAATTGGGAAGATAAAAGCTGCTATAAGGATTCCCATAATTCAGTATCCTGATGAACTTCAGCATAGCAGCAGAACAGTCACACTGGGCCAGACCAGAGGTTCATCTGTAATGTCTAAATGTAGTATGTAGTAGGCCTGGAAAAATAAATTATAAACAAGGGCAGGTAGATGTTTCTTTCCAACATGTTTTGAGGCTTTTGTAGCTGAATGACAAGTTCACTGACATATAGTAACAGGGACCTCAACAGTACTAGTTGAACTATATGATATATGTTATTTATTTTTTCCTTCAGTATGACAACATCAATATCAAAGTTAAAATTCACTCTGGTGAAGTACGTTCAGTTATATAGAAACTGGAGTGGATGTTAAGTGTTGTCATTTCAGAAGTGTATTAAGTCTGATTCTGAAAATGCAGAGGTTAAAAAAACCTGCCTACATCTTCTTTATCAATGTTCCCATTTATCCTGGTAATTCAGCACCAGTTACTCATCTTTGCTCATCTAAACAGAGATTCATGTCAGTTTCACAAGGTATAGGGAATGATGAAAGGCAGAATTCTGCATGAAGATGTGTTGTCTAATACACCTATTGCACTGAATTAATCTATTACTAGATATTGTAATTGTGAAAGTATTGGAGTAAGAATCTGTATGTAAGTCTTGTCAGAAGTGTGTGTTTCGTGTTTGATACACTGCACGTTTGATAAAATGGATGCATGTTTGATACCATATTGTGGGCATTCTGTAGATTTAATGTTTGTCTATAACCATATGCCATTTGTTGTTTTAGTGAAGCATGCACAACTTAGTGTCCATTAGCTCTCATTTGTTTTAATCATTAACTAGGGCCTAGTATTCCAAGAGGGTCCTTATTTTTACAGACAGCATGTGAGTTGATCTAGAATGATATGAACTGTTCAAAGGTGACCCAACCTGGTTTAATCTGTAATTGGTGATTTCATGATTTGAGAAGTCCATGTAAGCTGGATGTAGGGTGCTGTTTTCACTGTGTTGCAGTTCTTATAAACCCATAGAGAGCACTTAGGCTCCAGGGCAAACATTGCAGCATGTATTTTCCTACCACTGCTCCACGTGTTTTAGGATTTTTCTTGCTTCTTGAGTGCAACTGGAGGGCTGGGATATGCAGCTGGGCTGCTTGAGACCCTGTATAGTACTTTTCTTTCACCGGTTCCTTTGTTTTTGAGAGCCACTACCTCCTTCAAAGCACTGCCAAGCAGCCACGAAAAACACTGCTGAGCAATGTGGGTATAGTTATTAACTGCAGTGGTTTTTGTTCAAGTAATGAAACTAAGGTGCTTCATGTTTCTCTGCTTACGTGGCAGCTTGTGCTGAGTTGTCCTGGTCCTGTGGCAGTCATATGTTCATATGGAAGCTTTCCCCCAGCATGAAGTGTAGTGTCCTGCTGTCATCAATACCAAACTAATAAGGTCATAATAGACCCAGTCTTGAATCTCTTGTCAGGGAGGAGTGTCCTGCTGTGAAGAAAATGCTGCAGCTTGGTGTGTAAAGCTTGTCAGTAATTATACTCCTATTGATTGATTAATGGATCTGGAAACTCCTGATGCATTTTAGGATTGTTGACACTATTGCTGAGATACGTCTGTAGCCCATCTGCTCCAGTGCAGAGCCATATTCTTTCATGGAGACTCTAATTTGAGAGAATCCCCGCATATTTGGTTGTTTTTTTCTGTAGAAAAGGCACATAAAAAATAAGAGGATAGATGAACTCCTAAAGCCTAATATTTTGAACTTGATGATGAGGTTCCAAATTCTGAGCTGTTTTAAATGTCTCTTTCCTATTAGACTTGTGCCATGTGTCAGTAACCCTTTTGAAATATGACTGCATAGTTCTCTCTGATCCGTGTTTTCTAGTTGAACCTGCCCTGGTATGTGACAGAAATAACCATCTATGATCATTAGTGCCATAGGGTCAATGTAGCTGCAAAAAGAGTAAATTTCTGCTGTCATGCTCATAATAAAATTGCCTGCTAAGTTGAGTTTTGGTGATGGCTTATGGACAGAAAAATGCCAAATGTGACATCTAATACCTGGATCTAAGTGTTTCATTACTTATGAAAATGTTCTGTTTGACAACTTCTGTCAAAAAAAGATCAGCCAGGGTTTTGAGAATACAAAACCTAATAAAAAGTCTGTGAATGTTCTAAATTCTAACTTTCTTTGAAACAAAACTCTGTAAAACTTATGAAATGCAGATTTGCAGTAAATTTAGATAAGGTAATTATTTGAAGATTTATAAATGCATTTCTAGAGCATAGGAAAATTTAGAAAGTTTTAAGGATTGCAAGGTGATAAATTGACAATATAAATTCCTGTAAAAATCAGCTAATTTAATCTGGTATTTCAAAAAGCTTGACTGTTAAATCCATGCTTTTAAGATTGTGTGAATACTTTAACTTTTTTTTTTTAAATCCTCACATTTCAGTTAAAAAAAACCCCTTGACTCTGAAACCTTTGAATTAATTTATTTGGAGGGAAAGATAGCATTTTTGCAGTACTTTTTCCCTTGTGTTTTTAATATATGCTTGATATATCTTGATTCCAGTGTAAGATGAGACACACAAGCAATTTTCAAGCTTTAAATTGAACACTACAGAAAAAATAAAAGTGATATTGTTAATGAATTTGAGAAATTTAGCATTGATCTCAAATTGTCATTTTTTTGATTTCATGTTTTTAAATCAGGTGAAGCAGTTTGCTTCTGGTTGCTTTGTGCCTGAATAGGGCAACTGCAAAATATCTGGAATGTCCTGGGTATGCAAGAAGGTTTAAAGCCTGTGCCTGTTGCCAGTGCAGCCCAGCAGTTGTGTGGCTGAGAGTCTTGTCCTCAGTTTACCATGCGTGGCCACAACTCTTGCACAGCTGGGATTAGCTGAAGACCAATGAGAACTTAATCTATGTGTTTTGGTAGGGATCTTCACATTGCTGCTATTGTGAGTCTTTAGAACTGCCACCTGCAGAGTAGGTTATGTGTGCCAGGTAATGATTGGGGATGTGATGTCTGCATTTATTTAAGATATTGGTGCTATTAAGCTGTCTGCTAGTTAACAGTAATGACAATCTCAGATATATATTGTATTAGAGATGGTGAAAATGTGGTGTTTTTTTCCCCTTGAAACTCGTGTATTAAATTTTCTGATCTGAGGAAAGCCAGATGGCCTCCCTTGGTAGAAAGGACTAACACATAAGGAGTAAACAGGAGGGCACTGCTCAGCATAGATAAGGCTTGGAATGTATAGATAAGGCCTGAATTGTGAGGGAAGGTATTGTGTGGGAGGATGCTCCCACAGAAACTTGCAGAGAAGACAAGACCCTGGTGCAGGCCCCAGGAAGGAATGCCAAGAGGTGAAAAGTGCACAGCGAGGAAGACATACGGCCTTCATCCCAAAGACCCCTGCCCACGACCACCAGAAGATACTGCGCAAGTGCAACAAGGAGGAGCTCGGGGGGGCAACTATGCTAATGATTAATTGTAATAACCCCTCCCTATCCTCGGACACCTAATGTATATGCAACAGTATAGATGAATATGTATTACTTTGTGGCATATAATGACCTTACCAATAGTCCTAGGGTGTGCACGCTTGTGGAGGAGCGATCCCCCGTGCACCCAGCGCTGAATAAACATACCTTCTTTATAACCTTATTGGTTCTAAAGTCGTTATTCCGCACGTCATTTGTATCTGAGGACTCAATCTTTCATCATTGTAATGAAAATAAAATATATTCTTGGGTCTTAAGAAGGTGGTAACCTGTCTCTAACTCTTTCTGTCATGCACAACCAAAGGATTTTGGATTTTTCCAATGTACAGAAAGTTGGGTTCTTCCTTATCAGTTTGTATGGGTGTCAGCATTCAGCTCTCCAATGAAATTTGTCATAAATGAGCAACTGAATAAAGTGGGAATTAAAGCGGAAAGTTGACTGTATGGATAGTTCAGAAGTAAGTTAATGTGTAACTAATTGGCTAGTATCCAAATTGTGCTTCTGATTGTTTTCTCCTGGGGAAGAGTGTTAGTGAATACTAGATGACTCCTTCCTTGAAAGAGAATGCCATAAGTTTCATGTCTAGATAACTGGTTCTGACATAAATTTTTATCAGGTATGACACAACTGTTTCTTACATCATGCACATGGATCATGATATTAAACCTAAAAATACTGGATTGTTAGCAGCAAAATGCTGGCCATGTGTATGCCAGCAGGAGTTGTGCAATTTGCATTGTCATTGCCAGAATTTTGCCCTAGATTGCTGTATATTAGATTAATTTTTGATGTGTAACTTCTGATTGTTGTCCATAATTGTCAGGATAAGCTGCAAAAATAACCATGTTTCATACCTGCTCTAGAGGAACAAGTGAAAAGTGGTTGCTTGGGTTTTCTTCCCCCTCCCCCCCCCCCCCCCCCCCCAAGATAAAATCTGTTGTCCCTGTGGTAAATGTTCATTGTTTGTATCGGAGGTTCTGCCTTTTAGCTCAATATAAGTTCTTCACAGCAGTCAATACCCACAGTCAAAAGATTTTTTGAAGTGTAACTTCTGATGCTTACTTTGTCTTTGTATTAGAACAATAATTACATTCTTTTGAGTGTGTTCCTAAATTCCTAATTGCATGTGCTTGTGTCCTATAGCTGTTGCAAAAGTAGGTATTGTATATCTAACCAATTACGCTTGCTTTGGTTCTTTGAGTAATGGCTGTTTGGAAGCAATCAGTGCTAACAGGTTTTTTAAGTATTTCAGGACTCAGTTAAGGTATTATTATTATTATTATTATTATTATTATTATTATTATTATTATTATTATTATTATTATTATTATTATTTTAATTTCTGCTTTTTCTTTTAGGTGGCCTGGCTTTAGCTCAGGTACTGTTTTTTTATGTGAAATACTTGGTTCTGTATGGTGTTCCTGCCCTCCTCCTTCAAATGGATGGACTCAAACCTCCAGCTCTGCCTTGTTGTGTGAGCCTGATGCACAGTTTCACTAAAATGTGGAGGTCAGTCCTTACGGCTTTTCAGACAATTACTGATACATTGTAGTCGGTGTATAAGAGTATATCTGTGTGCCTTCATGGTCACATACATGTTTGCTTTCATGTCCTTGTGCTTTTTCTCTCACCCCCATGGTTGATCTGTTGCACTTTCTAAATTAATTTTAGGTAACTCCTTTTAGAGTTATCCTAGAAAGGATAGGAGCAAGCACCCTTTCAGCATTTTTATCCTCTTAATTTATTAGAATTAGGCTCAACCTACTTGGTTTCACTAACACAGCAGTTATTGTTTACAGATACCTATTAAATGGTTTACTTTTCGGTCTTGATCTAAATCCCACATTTCAGCTAGACACTCTTCCAGAGAAGGAAAAGAAATGCTTGATTAATCACTCCATGAGGAAAGCTGTAGAAATAAGACTTCAATATATAGACTCATGCAGTGGAGAAAGTCTGGAATGCATTAAAATTACAATGAAAAATGATAATTGTTTATAATGTAGGATGAATTCTGGATCCCATTCCATTTTAAAGAGTTTCAGCAGAATTTTTCACCGAAAGGATCAGTTTTGAATCTTAAAGTTCCTTTAACTTGGCATACACTGCAGCATTTTCTTTGAAAACCCTTCCAGGTGGATTCAGCTTGCTGTTTAGCCTGTATGTGTAACAGTGGATTCACTTGACTTCTTCTCTCCTTTGTTTTTCTCTACACTATTTCTAGTTCCTTCAGTCTGTGGGACACTGTGCCCCAGACTTTAGAAACCTAAAATAGAGAATTGTCAGCTTTTTAGTGCAGAGACTTCTCAAGTGTTAGTACTGAGCCTAGCACAGTGATGCTTACCCTGTTTAGTCTCTGACAGCTTTGCAATATGAAAAAGCTTTTTCATTTTAGTCATAAAAACAGTGGCCTTGCTATCATCATAGTTTTATTGGATGAGTTTTTAATTTTGTTTCTGACTTGGAGCTAGTTTTAACAAGAAGGCTTTATAGTTCATAATAGTTGGCAACTGTAGATATGTAGTATTCAAAAAAACGCAGCAGAAGGAACACAGAAAACAGATAACCTGTTAAAAATTATTTGGACTACTAGCAAATGCCTTGGTTTAAATTCTATTTCAGAGTTTGAACTCAGCTTATGACCTGCAGAGTTAATGTAGATATCTATGGTTTTTACCAGGTATTCTCCTGAGAGCAGCATCTTATGGCCTCCTTGTCCTTGCAAGCACAGTTGTGAACAGCAGCAGGTTTTTTTTCTTTCCCAGTTATTATTCCAAGGATATTGCCCTCGAGGTGCTAAATGAACATCAGGACAACTAGTAATGACACTGCTGTCAGGTAGTTGTAACAGAAAATGGAAAGGTATTCTACCTGTAAAAATGCTTGGTGTATAACAGTAAAAACATTGAATATTTGTTAAAAATATGCCTAACATTTATCAGAAAATCGAAAGTCTTTAACTAAGCAGGAAGTTTGATTTCTTACAGAAGGAAAAAATGTGAACTGCTGGAATTTACCTTTTCCGAAGTATTTAATTCTTATGTGAATCAAACATTCCCTGCCAGAAATAATGAAGCTATCTTATAGATGGCATTTGTGTGCTTTGAAGATTGAAAAAATCCATTCACGTACAGCTGTTTTGATTTCTTCCTCTCAAAGCTGTGTGGATAGTAGAATTTGCAATGGTTGCTAGTGAATTATGGTCATTCTCAATGATCTACAAAATTTTGCCCATCTTGCCCTCTGGATGCCTGAATTATGATGCACTTACACCGTTATAGTTAAACTCTTCAATCACTACTACCCAGAAACTTTGCAGTCTTTTTTGTGTGTTTTGGTATGTTATATGGGAATGTCAGTGTTGGAAGTGGGAATAGCTGTTGTTTCTAAACTGCGTGACTGTACAGGACAGGAAGTGCAGAAATTATGGGTATGGCAGAGAACCTAGCAAAAAATAGTGAAAGTATATAGCTTGTGTTGTGAAGCTTTATGAACAGTGACACTGTTCCCTCAACGTGCTAAATGCTTTTTTGTGGTCTGTGAATATGTGGGCTTAAAAGTCCTAACAATTGTATCAGTGGGTCAAATTTAAATGTTAATAACAGAGCCTAGTTTTTAAGCTGGTAGAGTGAGGAGATCTGCACCAGACCCTTTTCATAAAATGGTAGCCTGGTGAAGCTTATTAAAGGCTCCTAGGGCGGGGTTGGGGAGTGGGGTGGAACAAAGCCAGATGATATGGAGTGCACTACTTTTACATGCTGGCTGGCCCTAGGGATGCTGCTTGGGAAAAAGTGCTTGTGTATGCTTACCCTGCTATTACCCTTCTCACTGGTGTTTGCTTTAGGGTACGCTCAGCAACAAGGGTATTATGCTAGGTTGGCTTTTGGAAGACCTAGTGTTGTTGCTCTTCTATCTCGAAGCTATTAGCAGTGCAGATTTAGAAGGAGAGAAGGTAGCCTAAAGAGAGAGAGACAACACGAATATCATAATATAGGGAATGCAAATATGCTACTAAGGGGTCTTCCACTAACACTGGGTATCCTTTGATACCACAACGACAAAGCTTTTGATCTGATACATCCAGACCAGTATAATTTATAATCAGTATATGCTGACATAATACACGATGTGATACAGAAGGTAGAATGGCTTTCAGTCTGGAAGATTAGAGAGATAGCACAGTACATCTGACATTTCTCTAGAGCTAAAAGCAGGTGTTAGGAAAACAAATCAGGTAGTCTGTCTCCCTATTAATGGCACTAAACAATAAACCAAATTATGTCCATTCAATCATAAAAATGAAAGGCTTTGATTAAAAAGGAGTTATCAGCTTTATAGTAGATTCTGCCAAATTTGCATTTTATTTAATCAAGACAATCTCTTGAGTAAAAAAATTAGCAATCTTGTTTACTGTCTCAAGACAAATACAGGTGTTGAATGTGTTTTAATTTTACCAGGATATCATTCTCTTGCTAAATATGCAGCTGCATAGCTAATATATGCATGATAAATTTACTGCTATTTGAAAGCTTGACTATGGCTGAGAAAAAAAAAAAAAGATTCTGAGCTTCTGATTTCTAGATAGGTTAGCAGTTCAGTGACACACCAACTTACAGTTTTTAATGTCTGCTTAAGCTCTGAGGAATTAAAACTTGGTTATTCTTACCAAGGTGAAAAGCAAGGTAAAGGAGTTGTGTGAGGGCAGTGTTGTAGGAAACTTGTCTGATGTTTGTCACACAGCTTCTCAGGTGGGGGGTGAATTGTATAGTGCAACTGGAAAAAATTGCATTACTGCTGAAACTTGTAAATTAGTTCAGTGTGGAAAGATATCCTAGTGGAGAAGTAAGGATGTGGAAATCCCAGAAAACACTAGGCAGCAAGTAACTAAATCCTGTATCACTTCTGACATATTGGTGAATGTATTCTACAAAGAAGCTTTTCGGCTGTAAATGAGGACAACAGGACAGATGCTGTTCATGGAGGAAAAAATAAATAAGTCATTCTTCTATTTTTACTTTCTGCTTGTTACTGAGTGTGGCAAGTGCTCTTCTGCAAAGCTGCTGGACATGTTGATCAGATGTGGTTTTGACATGCTATGGGAGTAGCATGGCATAAGAATCCAATTATTTCTGGTCATAGACTGATAGGAGGTGTGCAGAAGCATGACTGCTCTTCTACCTTTCCTCTTAAAATTTGCACATTCCCAAGTATCTTATCCCAAAATAATTTGGAGACAATTGTGTTAAGGAGACAATGGTGCTAAAACTACCTGAGTGTTTAATACAGGTTAGTCTCAGCAAGGGTAGAGGCTCTCCAGGAAGGCAGTATGAATTAGCGTTTGAAAGGTAGATTTTACAGGAAGCAGAATTTCATCCAGAGAAGGAAAACAGAGTTTAAGAAATGCTGCCATATTAAAATAAAATGATGCAATGATAAAGAAAGATCTGGCTGTTTTCAACTACCATGTTGTAAGTTCCAGATTCTACCTTGCATTTAAGACATAGATAGGAGTCTGACATTAGTCAGTTTCCCAGCCCTCCCATTTTTTGGCACGTTAACGGGTGGACTAGGAGGGCTATATTTTGCGTGTACAGACACACATACACACTTTTATATGGATTCACATTAAGTTTATCCCACAGATATTTTGGTGCAAAAATGGCATCTGGATTAGGAATTATCTGCAGTTCAGTCTGGTTTACCTGTATCATTATTACAAAAGCATTGCTTGCCTTGTATGAGAGAATGTAATGATAGTGTAATGTTATGTGTGAGTGGGAGCACAAGAGATCACTGTGACCACATGCAGGGATTTTGGAATGATGGAGAGCAAGCAAAAACTTCCCATCTCTTAATTCTGGCTTCAACACTTCATAATATTTACATCTAATCGCCTATTTGTAGTTTGTGGTGAGGACTAGAATAGATTTTTAAACAGGGAAAATGCATTTTCTAACCTGAAAGGGGAAAAAAGTAAGTCCATTTTCACCTGGTGCTTCTCAATGTCTTAGCCCAGTTTATAATGTATTTTCCTTCTTGGGCTTATGATTTTTGTACTAGAATAAGTAATTATGAGAGTTAACTTATTAAATATATTAAGACGAACAAGCTGCTGAAAGGCTTTATGTTATACAAGATATTAAGGAAATTTAAATAAGATCAGAAATGGTGATTCTGTCAGTTCTTGATTTGGGAAACTTGCCTCCTCTAATTCCTAAATAACCAATGTCTGGTACAAGTTAACACAAATATAATTGTTCAGCTGTAACTGTGCTACAGCTGTGTGTAGTCAGGATGACATCCCTGCTTCTGGGCTCAGAAAAAGGTGTTTTTACAGGTTTAAGGGCTTGTGCTCTAAAACTCCTGTGGAAGGCTCTTGCTTCCTGTTCAAGTATTGTAGAGCTCTTTTGCTGCTGGTGTTTCTGGATAAGTTGACAATGGTCTGAAATTTTACATAGCAGATTTTCTCCCTAAATTTCTCCTTCTTACAAGTTTAGTTGTCTGATTAT